ACCCGACATCACCTACCAACAACCACAGGTAACCAACCAACTGAAGGCCGCGTTTAAAAAAAGTAAGTTGTTCACTTCGCCGCAGGGGACCACTGCCACAAACACAAGTTCGGGCTGAGGCCACGGTGGCATAGCTACTCAGCGGGGGCAGCCAGGCCGTTCTTGGTCGGGGCCAGGAACTGCTCGATGATGTGGTGCGAAATGTCCGCAAGCTCCCTGTCGATGCCCGCGCTGTCCCTGTGTGTGAAAAAGCAAAATTCAGACAAAATGGTCCCCTCACTTGCGTGACGCATCACCCAGGTGCAAAGAAACATACCCATAAGGACCGTGATGCTCGATGTAATACTTGAGCTTTGGCTCTGCAGGAGAGAATAGAGAGAGGAGGTTGAGAGGGAGAAATGAGCGGGAGACCTCAGGGGTAAAGAGGGGAAGGGGAGCGACCGTACCAGTACCACTGCCTCGCAGCGTAGCCACGCACCCGTTCTCAAAGAAAAAGGTGATCATGTGCGTCGAAGAAGACGTGGGCAGAATCGCCTTCTTGTCTGGCCGAGAGCTGTCGTAGCCTACAGGCGCACAACAGAACCGTTAGCGTTGTACTCCCGCAGTGTGCCCCACCACTACATCCATATCTCTCCTCTCTCCTCTCTCGGTCATCAATAGATGGGGTAGCGAACCGGTGGTAAGGTCTCGAATGTTTTTGATCTTGTAGGGTCCGCAGGCCTCGCTGTATTGGCCATTGTTGCGAATGCGCCCGAAGATGGTTTCCATCAATGCCGGGTCGTAGCAGAAAAAGTAGCGGTTGTTGGTGGCGTAGTAACCGTATTTCTGTGCGCGCGTGTCCGTGTTCACACAGTATCAAGAAGTTAGGCCCGGCTCTACGCGCGAGCTGAGTGGAAAAGATACGCAGGGTGAGTGAGGGTTCGCCGTACCTCGTAGAGCGAGTGGAGAGTACGGACGACCGTGCTGCGCTGAGAGTACAGTTCGACGGCCATTTCGGCAAAGACCGCTGCAGCACGCACACCGTCCTGCGATCATAACATAAGCCAAGAGATTAAGGTGGCACAGGGGTCAGGAGAGATCAAAGAAACCGCACCTTGTCGCGGCACACGTCACCGACCATGAAACCGATGGCCTCTTCAAAGGCGTAGAGGAAGTGATAGCCCTTGGACGTGAGGTCCGCGGCCACACTGCCCAGCCGATTTGAAGCCCGTCAATGTTTCCTG